CCTGCAGGCAGCAGTGGAATTGGGGCAAGTCCTCCTTCCCACCCACAGACATCCCCTTTGCTGCCTGGAGCTCACTTGGCTGGAGGTGACCCAGTACTGAGGCTCTGTCAAGGACATCTCTCTATATTCTTCTGTGGATGGGACTGTGAGGCCAGACAGAGACAAAACCCGTGCTAATTACAAAGAGAGAACTATGGACCTATTGCTCTGCACCTCGGTCTTGGCACAACGCTGCTTTTCTACTTCTCTCACACTCAGCCAGCAGTGACATCTTCACACGCTGGGGGTTGTGAGCCTTGGGCAGGGATGGAGTTAGGGCAGTTTGCCACTCTCTGCAAAGGTCACTGGCTCAATCCAGTGAAAGTAAAGAGGACGCAAATGCCCCAAGAGCAGAAATCCCCACACGTGTCACATCAAATCATGGAGAAGCTAATGAGGCAGAGCCGCCTGGTTAGAGCAAGTGTGTTCTGCTCTGTACCATTAGTTTTCTGATGTTAAATATTTCAGCAGGTAACTTCCAGGACTGTCCTGGTGGCTGTGATCACAAATGATTCATCAGAGCCACTTGAACAAGAAAAGCCTTTCTGAATAAGGGCATTTCTGAGGCTCTTACTGGTTTTTTTGCCTTTCAGTTGACCATTTTTGACATCAGGAACTTGGGACTCAGGTTCAGGAAGAAGCCGGACAGCCCTCAGGAGACAAAGTTGCCCAAGATTGTCCAGCACCCAGGCAGAAGTGAGAACTCCAAATACAAGGTAGCCTTTTCCTGCCCTTTTTCTTGCTGTTTGATGTGACATTTGAAGAGGCTGTGTGCCTTGCCTCCAGCTTATTGAAACACCTCAGTGTCCAGGTCCTGTTGTTATTCCAAACTGCTGGTGGTGGAGTTCCTTCTGCTGGGACAAAGGCAAAACATTTTCTCCTGGTGAGATGCTGGAGTCCTGATCTGTGCTAAGCCAACACAAATATTTTCTGCTGAAGCTGGTGGGGTTTGCTGGAGTTTAGCTACCATGGTGAAGGCACGATACTGGGGGAAGGCTGGGGCAGGACTAAAGGGTACCAGCTTGCCATTTCCTATTGTCCCTCTGAAAGAGCCACCTCTTGCTTTGGTGTTGTCACTGACAAATGCTGGGGGTCATAGGATTCCCTGCACAGTGGCAGCGCTGGCCTTTGAAGGCTGAGGGCCTGAGATAATTACTCCCAATTTAACACAACTCCAGTCTTACTCAAGTTGCCCAGCACTGCTGAGAAAAGAGCTGAACCTTATCCTCATCCAGCATTCACCTCATTTGTCCTATTCCTATTTACTGTGGTACTTTCTTTTTGCCCTTAACCTACTCTGGTGCTGTTCTCTTCTTACTGGTGTCTCAGCTCTAGAGTCTGGAGTTGTGTGGGCCTCAGTCTCCCTGCCTCAGAGTAAAGGTCATCCAAAAATTGTTTCCTATGAAGTCTGATGTAAATTCTTGAGTTTCACTTACTGCTTGGGTGCTCAGTCAGTGCCCAGAGCTCTGGGACCCCATTAGCACAGGGCTGTGCTGGAGGTAAGTGCTGCCCAGCATTTTGGAGAAGGAAAGCTGGAGAAACTCCTGCCAAAAGAGCTGCTCAGCTTGAGCCTGCTCAGTGTGGTCTAGCAGCTTTTGATCAGCTCAGAGCAGAAGTGGGTGAACTACTGTTCCCCCAGTGGCAGCTGGGCAGACCTAGTCACCAAGAGCCTGTACTTCACCGGGGATCCACAGAGGAGTGTCATTCACAAACCTTCCTCCCAGCAGCTGAACCTCTCCCTGCTCTCTCTTGCCTCTCCAGTTCTCATCACCTGACCAGAACAAGACCTTGCTTGAGCCTTACCCATCCGAGCTGGTGTTTCAGAACTATGTCCTTGGCAAGGTCTGTGAAATGTCCCTGCTTCTGAGGAATAGAAGCAAGGTAAGTGCTGGGATGTGGAGCTTTAACACTGTGCTAGAAGAAGAGGAGAGTGTGCTAGAAAATGCCTGTTTGCTGTCCCTGTGCCTGTGTTCCCCTGAGGGCAGAAACTGGCAGCAGGGTGGCTGCAGGAATGCCCAGCACTCTGGCTTGCCTGCACTGGCAGCTGCCTGGCCATAATCACCAGGCAGCAAGAGCCCCTGGAGAGCTGAGATTGGCTTTTAATAATGAAACCACACTGTCAGTGCTGGTCATGTTTCTCCAGGCAGAAAATACCTTGGAAGCCCAGAGTTGATAGACACAGCCTGCAGGGCCGTCTGGCTTTCCATCACTCTGGCAAGCTGACTGCTCTCATCTTCTGCACCAGCCTTTTCTGGCAGTGTCTTGTGCTTCTCCCTTGCTTCTTTACAGCCCATTTCAATTCTCTTTGCCATCTCATTGTGTTGGGGCTTGTCTCTTTGTCGTGCTGTGTTCCTCCTTTTCTCTTCAGTTTCCCAGTAAGGCCAAGTGTCTGGTCTCCTCTTGCTGGTGTGCCCATGTGACTATCTCCCCACAGCTGGACTTCCCCACTCCAGCTCAGTCTGTTCAAAGGGAATTTCTTCCTTCCCCCAGGACAATGTGCTGGTTGGCCTTCAGGTAGCACATTCTCCCTCTGGAACAGGGCTGCATGGCTGTGTGCAGGCAGAAGCAAGCAGATTCTCTGGGCTTGTTGAAAATGAGGATGACTTGATTCAGGTGTTCTATCTCCATACTGCTGGTGCCTGACCTTCCTTCCCAGCAGGCACTGCCCTACTGCCTCTGGCCGAGCTGCTTTGCCCAGGCAGAAGGGATTCAAGTTCACCCTTGTGTGTCCTCTGCTTGTACCTCCAGAGCTAATAGTCCTTTGGGAAAATGGTCAAGGAAGGCTGTCACCAGGGCACACCCAGGTCTCCTCCTGTTTCCACAAGTGGCAAAATCACCATTTTGTGTCTTTCCTGCAGGTTACTCGGCTGGTGAAGGTCACCATGGACAGCTCACCTTATTTCAAGTTGGTCGGCCCCAATGGTGTGTACCATCAGGTCCCACCGGGCTCATTTTGCACTATAAAAATCCTTTTCATCCCTGAGGGGAGCAAGGTGAGTTTGGAGGAACGTTCTCTCTAAAGCTACAGCGTTTGTTGCACACTGCTTATAACCCAGCCCGTGCTGTGAGGTCAGCTCTGGGCTGGGGGCAGGCAGCCTGGAGCTGGTCACACCTTGGCACAGCATGGTGCTGCCAGTCCCTGCAGTGGTTAAACA